AAGTTCTTTACACCCATGGGAATGGGGGTCTGACAACAGCCAACTCCAAAACAATATTCGTCACTCAATTCCCTGCTGTCTGAACAAGTTGTGAAACATCCGCCGGTGAAGTTTTCAACGGATCCCATGGAAATGTCATCACACCCCACAACTGTTAACACATTTTCATTTGACAAACTGAAAGGTGTGGTCTTTAGAATCACCGAAACTGAGTTTTCGCTAGCTATAGCACCAGACTCATCATAGCAATTGGAAGCTACCATGCTTTTTACCCGGATTTTGGTGTCTGATATGTTAATAACCTCTAAATTACCCGTACTGATGAAGGCTTTCGGAGGATTGAAAGATGTATTACAGATGATGTCAAACAACGATCCAATGGAACACCCAGAACCTAAACCGATGCCAAACGGGTATGGAACAGTTAAATTCCCACACTTGGTTGGGCAGCCAGGCTTGATTATTACGCTGTTATTGAGGGTCTGATTTGATATGGCCAAACTTACTGGAAACCATAAGAGGAGGAGCAGAATGTAATTCTTCATATTGGTTGATACACCACAAGGTGATTGAGGGATGTCCAAAACTGTCTTGTTGATATACAAAATACAATTTTCTGGAAACCATAAGAGGAGGAGCAGAATGTAATTCTTCATATTGGTTGATACACCACAAGGTGATTGAGGGATGTCCAAATCTGTCTTGTTGATATACAAAATACAAGTTTCTCCTCTTTTTTACTTTTTTTTTTTTGGAAACATGCAATGGAGGTCCTACTGTCTGTTGGTGTTTTAACAAGTTCGTATTCAACTTTTTTTGGCATACTAGACCACGTTTCAAGTTTGTTAGTACCTTCACAATAAATTTGTCAAGAAATTTCCCAAATAAGCCGAATGAAAACAGTGTACCTTCAGAGGCATTATTGGGTGTTTGCTTGAAAGGATTGTAATATACTATGCCCCTGTTTGGTATCAATTAAAATCTAAATTTTAATTTAAGTCAAAGTCAATAATTTATTTTAACCACATATTTTATGGATCCCACAACTTTTCAACCACATATTTTATCAACTTCTTTAAAATCTACTAAAAACCTGATTTTTATCTCCACCAAACAAGAATTATATCAAATTTCTCACGTCCTTTAAGTCAACACCTCTGCAGTTCACTGTCGAGGAAATTGCACTACATATTACTTTAAAAATATCACAGTTTAGTATTTTAACGAAAATGTCCTAAAAATTTTAAATACTATGCATATCTTTCATTATTTTTGATTTGACTAATTGAAAAAGTTATTTTGAATTGAAAACATCACACCAAACCCGTAATGTCTAAACCCACAATACATCCCCATTGCAGGATTTTTCTCTTCTTCTTCCCCACATCCTCATCCTCCATTGCTTTTTTTTTTTTTTGACAAAAGGAGCTCCACCAGCAATTGAGACTATGATTTTTTTTTTTTCAAATAATGGAGAAATCTGGAACTCGGACCTATGAAAAACTGAACATGCTCATTATCTCAGGTTTAATTTATTGTCTACTATTGGCCTTGAATTTATGGATTGCTTATTTTAATTTGGGAAAATTGCAATGGCGTTTCCTAACCTTTTCAATTTTTGTAGACTTTATCCTAATCTTCCATTTATAGCAACGAAGGTCCCTAATCTTTCAAAAATATGCATTTGAAGTCCAAATGGATGGAATCCCTCAACTTTTCCGTTAGTTGACCTAAAAAATGATTTTGACCACATTATTAATTATTTTTATAAGGGTAAAATAGTAACTTTATCTCTTTCCATATAAAAATAATTAAAATAAAAACCATTATCATCATCTTCCACCCTTACACCATCCCATCCTAGTCATGTAAAGATGGGTGGGCCGCCCAGGCCCACCCGTAGGCGAACCGGCCCGCGATTCGGCCCACGAACCATGTGGGCCGAATCGGGCCGAATCGTAGGCCACCCGCACCTTGAACCGGTCTGGGCCAGTTCAAGGTGAAACGGACCGCTGGCCCGTTAAAAAAATAAAATAAAAAATAAAAAAATTTTAAAACGTTTTTTGCGCCTGCTGCTGCAGGCGCAGCTGCAGGCTACAAGCTTGCTATCAGAATGGTCATTTGACCGTTCTGATTTTTTTTTTTTTTTGTAATAACGGTAAAAAAAAATTTTTTGTATAAATTGTGGTATTGT